GAAGGAAGAACATACATATACCATGATTCTTCGCGAGTATCTTGTAGCTAATAGCAATGCAAATTCAGTGCCTGGTTTTCGAGGATCTGTTTACAAATGTATGTGCTGGAGGACAAACATTTCCGCGCTTAGGAGTTAAAAGTTGGACAAGCACTACGAGCACGGCAGGACATATGGGAACAACACGGACGGTATTTTGCACATGCGCAGAAAAGTTAGTAGTTCGATGTATGACCTTTGGAGTAGGGACAGACTGAAATGTGCTGCGATTGTAACAAGCCAGGTATTTAGAAAGCTACTTGCGTATTCGTTAGTGTTGAGATGCTTGGCGATAGGACGACTGGGTCTTGTTTTTGCGGAACCTATATTTGAGACCAGAGTGAAAGCTCTGGTCGCTCACAGACTGAATGCTTATATTGTTCTGGCATGTATCAGCCATGTCAGCATTACAGTTCACTCTGACCGTATCTACTTATGCAATACTTGCGTAATGAAGGGACAGGTTTCTGGATTCATTGAGAAACATCGAAAAGATAACTCGACATCGATTGTAGTAGCTAGATTTTCGGATGCAACGACCTCAAAAACTCTCTCGCAATGTTCGGAATCTTCAGAGTTCATATTGTCAATATTGCGAAGAGATGAAAGATTGATGGATTGGTGCCGCATAAAAGGCCGAGCCATACTCCTCAGATTTTCTTCCAAATTAATAAGATGGAAGTGCGGGCGTTTTATCATGTCTATGCCGGACTCTTCGGTTATACAATTACCAGTTGGCAGTTCATCTGCCAAACGCAAAGCAGATTAATCAACAGCTGCAACAATCTCGACAGCAATTGCAGTGAAAATGACAACAGCAGCGATCTCCGTGTTTGAGACGATGGACGAACCGCTAAGCAAAGACTCTCTTGAAGTGAATTATATCTATGCGTGTCAGAGTCAAGTTTTGTCAGGACAATTCTATCTTATCCTTGTTACTGTCGAGCCTTCCAAACTGTATATCAGATCATAAAACCGGTTTTTTATGGTCTAAAGACATAATTTTACTGCATCATCTCCACTTTCATACTCAATAAAATCAAAACGTCCAAGACCATCGGGTAAAGTCACAAAAAAGTATTGACATGCAAGTAAACTTTTGTCACGCATAGATATCATAACATACTTAATGCATGCCGCTGGGCCAAGAAGTGCGAACTGAAACCGAGGTGACGATGTATATTATTTTGTCAGTCTGACGCATCAATGTGTGACCGTGCATTGGTGTGGATTACACAAGTTAATGTTATTACAAATTGGTGTGGCTAACGTAACACAAAGCCGCTGATTGTCACTAGTAATGCATATTAATTAGGTTTTACTGCATTTTTCATTCAACTTTTTTAAGGCATTAAAAATATCTTCTCGATCCAGGTTATGTAAATCCTTCGATAATTCACCTAAATCTTTGAGAGATTCGAAAACTGAAGTATGATTAGGTGTTACTACATTAATTGGGAATTCTAAAGGTTTGAATTATTGGCGGCTATGCCGCAACTAAAACATTTAGATAACTTCTCAATTTGCCTCGTCGAGCACAAGTGTCTCCAGTCAAACCAGCGAAGTAAT